CCGCTGCTGCGCTGCCGTGCGGCTCTCTCCGTGCGCGCCAGCAGGACTCGGCTCGTGGCAACGCGAGTATTCGGGCCTGCCTGGCTGCTCTTTACGCGGACGGAGAGGCAGCGGTGGCGAAAAGGCAGCGGGAGTGTCTGTGCGGCGCCCACGAAAACTGCCCCATCTCCATACTTCTGGTTCTAAACGATTATTTTTCGATGTGCATGCCGATACAATACAGTAGTCTCCGCCTAAACTCACGGTGCTCGGGGGGGAGGGGGCTCCTTAGCGTGTGTTTATGCGGAGCGTGCGTTTACATGAACCTTTGCAAGGGGAGGAAGGGACGCAGTCATCTCAATTGGCTTGATATTATTACTCTTGTGGTCTCCCTTGGAGGAGGGGGTCATTTTGGCAGATAATGTGACGACACGTGACTGTTTTGTGAAGGATTCTCCAACAGGGGTTAAGAAAACAACAGCGTTGAATGGGGTGGGGAGGACGAACTCAGTGTAATGAATCTGCACTATAGACGTCAGGAACAGATAGCCTAAGAGAAAACTGTTGGAGATAGTCATAGATCTAGTCATAGAGACGACAGACCAGCCACGTGGCTTTCCAAGCGACCACCCACGACCGTAAATCGTAAATTCATGCAGAATCATCCTCGAGAAACATTTTCTCTTGTGATTCGTTGAACAAGTACGTTATAAGTTCTTCGAGCGCAGCTCATTAGGTTTATTTGGCTAATCTTTAATCCTATAGAGGCCTGTCTAGTGTTTTACGGCATTTACGCATGTCGTGCATCAGGCCTAGATCTAACTAAACATTACACGCAGTCACTCAAACTCAAACACCAGTCAGAAACCTTCTACAGTATATGTTCTTTTTTTGTTGTTTTCCTCAGATTCATCCAACAAGGGGTACTTTGTACTTACTTGCAAACAGGAAAAAGGAAAATATGAAAAGAAGAACAGGACAATGTACCAGTTACAGAATAATAGATCCTAAAAATATGCTGTCAAATTCACCCATAGATGTAGGCCTAAAAAATTACCAATGAACAGTATGCACAACACCCAAAACCGATTCGTTGCCACACATATATACCCTGTTCACCCCTTTTGGGCCACTCTCAAGCAGTCACAAGTACACAACTAATACAGTCTGTGCCGGCTTTAAACACGCCGGCATAAAGCACATTCCGGACTCGAGCACATTAAACGGATTTTGCTTATAAATTACACGCCTTTAAGCACGGTAACTTCGGCTTCAGGCACGCTTCATATACAAGACAGTCAATACTTTCATGATGACCTATCGAAGTTTGAACATAGTCTACACCGCAGCAGTGAGTGTGTTAAGAGAAACGCAAGTGATGTAGACACACACACACACACACGAGCACGGAGAGGAAGGCAGAGAGAAGCACATGGCCGCGCTCATGGACATAGGATAGATCCAGGGGCGAAGGCTGACTTGTTTGACAGGGTAATCAAAGTGAGCTGGGACCAGATAGGGCCAGGAGCTCAGGAGACATCACACTTACACAAGAATCTTACTTGAGGCAGCAACAATGAGTTGTGAATGAAAACAAATCCTGAATTCATGTTGTATGCATATTATTCAACCGCTAAAATAACCGAGAAAGTATTTCATCAAATATTTATTCTAACTAACCTTAAATTTAACTTTAGATCTGAATACACGAACACCAAGGAAAGCAGCAGAGATGTCAGTACTACTGTGACATGTTTTCCACACATTTGGCTGTTTTTGTCAAGCTTTTCGCAGCCAGGAGCCGGTGTCATAATCGAGGTCACGATCTGATTATAGGACGGTAAAAAGTCAAGGAAAAAAAACAAGCACTCGCAGCAGTCAAGATATTATTAGGAGTTAGTTCCCCTCACATCTGTGAGGTAGACTCGACCAGTGTAATAGTTCGCTTACATAATCAGCGCATGTGACTACTTATAACTGTGGCTCGAAAGGGGTGAACAGGGTATATGTGGCAATGAAACAGTTTGGGGAGCTGTGTACATGTTCCCTCCAACTCTTTTGGTAGACTCTTCCAGCCTCACTTTAAGCTTACTTAATCAAAGCTTGTGACTGCTTATGGAGTGGCCCGATAGGGGCGAACAGGCTATTTCTGTCTTGCAAAGAAATCGTTTTGAAGGTTAGGCATAGTCTATATTGAATAATATTGTTCATTGGTGATTAAGAATGTCTTTTTACATTTAATTTATGAGGTTTATGTCTATGGGTGAATTTGACTGCGACAATGTTTCAAAATTAGGAAGGGAAGCAGTGATTATTTGATTATATAGACGCTTCTTCACTGGATAGATCTAGCCTAGTAGGGCAAAGCTACACACAGATGAAAAAAAATACTCAAAGAGAGTCAGGGTGACGAGAAAGGGAGGCTGGCAGCGAATTCACCTTTGCCCCTCGCTACCCGTTAATCCTGTTTAATCACGCTCGAGGTGGGATGAATGTGGCAAAGCGGGCAGTGGTACTCACAGGGAGTGTGTAAGCCTAGGCCTTGTGTGCTGTATCGTGACTGGCCGTCTAAATTAAGTTTTCCTTTCCCATTTGACTACTTTGATTCGACCACAAAAAGAAAAAAAAAAAACTACCATGACGGATAAAAATGACAAGGCACACTTTTGCGCAACCACTACTCACAAACAATGGGTAATAAGTCAAGAAATTTTCAACTTAAAAATCTCTGGATTAGAACAATGTCTACTTCGCACTCAAGCACGCTTGGCTTTCTCCTGATGACCGTGCTTAAAGCCGGCATGGATTGTACAGTAATGAAAGCTAAATTTAATTATACTGGGTTGGTTGAGTCGACCTTAAAAATAAAGGTGAAGGGGGTCTAACTCCTAATGACCTCATGGCTGCTGTGAGTGCTTAATTTCCCCCCTCTTTTTATTGCCCTATAAGATTTCAGGTCATGGCATGATTATTATGAATTGTGGCATTGGCTCCTGGCTGCAAAAGGCAAAACAAAGACAGTCAAATTTGAAACAAAATTGATACATTTTAGTATTGTCATCTCTGCTTCTTTGCCATCTGTTTTTGTTGTATGGGCCTCACATAGTCACATCGGTATTTTTTTACTTTCCCTCCCATCTCACACTTAGCTACCAGTTGTCCATTTTCTACTAAATATTGATGCGCTGAACACGAATATCAACTTCATTTCCGTTGCAAATTAATAGTTTTTAAAATTCTAGATTGTTCTTAATAGAGATAGACGTGCTTTGGACCAATCAGGGGGTTCCAGGGGGGCCTGCCCCCCTTGAGTAAAAGAAAATCTGGGGGGTTACTGGGGAGCACCCCCCACCCCCATGTTTTAACCCATAATTTGATGTTGAAAATATTGATTTGCGACAGTTTTAGTGGCTTTGTTTGTGATCTCCACCAAACAGTACTGCAGTTTGACACCCCGAAGTAGCGCATCTGTGAGCGGGAGTGAAAGTAAAAATTAACCTTCACATCTTTTTAGTCTTCAATTAAAATTACAATGTAAAAAGGCTGGCTCTATTTCTCCGAATGGTCAGGAAATTTCACTAAACTCTATTTCTTCGAACGGTTTCCGTTCTCGAGATATTTTGGCTATTTGGGAATGGCCCTCGCGCACACTCGTGTGTTTTAGGTGTGAACGGGGGGAGGGCGCGGGGCTATGGAGGGATTATTTTGTTCTTTTATTTTAGTTTTTGCTTTAGGGGTGGCTAAATGCAAAATAAGTTACTGTCAAAGTCAAGCAGTCTTGTTTTCTTGCAGTACCTTTTGAAGGCATTTTCAAATGAAGTATAGTCCGGGAACGTTGCCGCAACCACAATTGAAGTCTGAATATTCAGACGTCTAAAAATCTCTAGCTCTAGAAATTGAATTCGATGCAAAAAATGGTTTTTCCAAGTCCTCGCAGAATCGCAGAATGGCAGAATGAAAGACGATGCCGAACTCTCGATATAACCAAAAAATCTCTAGAATGGAAACTGTTCGGAGAAATTCCCACAGCAAGTTTTTTAAAAGTAATTACATTTGGTCCACACTGGGAACAAATTTAACACTTTGCAATCACAAGGCTCATATGTGAGGCACGGCAGCGTGGTAGAATCAGGCTCTCGTCAAAATAATCAAAGTGAAGAAACTTGAATTTTTCCACAGGTTTGTGAATTTTTATCAAATTTTGTTTTTTGGCTCAACACCTTTCATGCCCATTAAAAAACTCATTTCAGTGTGAATTTTTCTGAAAAACGTTGATTAAAGGCACAAAAAATGTAGATTTTCAGTTACCACGGACTCTTAAGCTAAGGACATAACTAATCTTTGGCGGCCATTTTCTCAGTAATTTTACTTCTGAAAACAAGTGACCCCCACCTCCTTCTTTCCCAAATATCTCGACTTGTATTCAAGATAAATGGATATTTTTTTCAAAGAACAAATAAAGACAAGTGAACAAGCTTTAAGATGATACCAATAATTCTACATGATGCCCAAAAATTGACGAGAGCCTGATTCCACCACGCTGCCTCACATATAGTAAAAAAAAATCCTTGCCATCACAGGCATTTTGGGGGAAATCCAAAGAAACTGGGTGGTTAACATCTCAGATTGGGGTTTTGTGACGGGAGCGGAAATTTGGCCATCTTGCTTATCAGCGAGATGTGATGGAAAAGTGTTAATGGTCTTATTGCGGGAAAGCTTTTTTCCGTGTGCGGCTTCATATTCTTTGTCTTACTTTGAAAACCCCAGTCAAACAAGTCAGCATTCGCCCCTTGTTAGGGTAACCCTTACCAAGGGGGCTCTCTTGGTCTAGAAGTACTAAGCCTGTCATTCAATAGGTCCCAGGTTCAAAATCTGACAGCTACCAAAAAATGTTTCTTCTCTAAAAATTGTTTTCCTGTCACCTTTACTGCTTTCTTTATTCGAGATAATCATGTTCGAAATCATGGCCCGAACTCGGATACAACGGGAGAGATCGAGCAAGCTCTATCTGGGGGGAAGGGGGTTGGGGGGGCTGTAGGCGGGCTCCAAATAGGCAGTCAGCGGTGCGGTGCTGCGATTGGCTCATCCAGTTAAGAGTGAGTGGGGGCGGGCAGAGGCAGAGAGGGATGGTGCAGAGCGACGCATTACGTGAGCCACTCCAAGAGAGAGTATAGGCAGAGGCCATAGTCCTAAGCTAGTAAGAAGAGGAGAGTGTGTAGTGTGTGATTCCTGATTCATTGAAGAGCAATCCTTGATGCTCAGATATGCAGGCATCTACTTCACCAGTTCTACAGTAAGCCTATCGGTACAATAGACAGCACAAGCAATGAGACCAAAGAAAAGATGGCTGCCAACAAAGACAAAAGGAAATGCTTCTCACTCGAATTAAAGGCCTAAATAACCAACGAAGTTGACAAGAAAAGAAAGACTAATCTGAAGTGCAAATTATTATTTTTTTAAAGGAACAATGGAAGGGAGGTAGGCCTAATCATATACATGTGTGGATTTTTAGAAATGTTTTGGTAATTTCCACTTTGTATTCCTATAGCGGGACCTTGCCTACAGCGGAATTTTTCTTCAGGAACCAAATGTCCCGCTATGTATTAGCCGTGTTCTACTGAAGTGATGATTTTGCGTAGCGCGCGGTTTGCAGTTTCCAAGCTCCTTCCCCTTATAGTTCTACTCCATTTGCAGCTCAGTGTCCTAATGAGTCCAATCTCTTGTGTTTAATTTCTTGTGCTTACAAAACCTTAAAAGAAACGATCCGGATCGAAGCATCATTGAACTTTGAACTTGCTTTCGTATCCAAATTGACGTAGATAAATCTAGGCCTACTCTGAGTCTTCTTATTCTCAGTGGCTATTCTCATCCGGGGTGAGAATAGAAATACGATCGACCTCTCACCCCGGGTGAGACTTGCGGCCGTAGGCTATTCTCACCCGGTTTGAAACAAGACCTGTTTTTCCTCATTTCGGAATACTTTCTATCGATGTGGATGATCAAATTGATAAAAGCCAAGAAAAAATTACGTTATAGCACAAAAGTAAGCTAATTTGATCGTCTTCAAAGATGCTATGGCTATTTCACTGTTCAAATCAAGCCGAACTACGCGGGTCGCCATTTTGTTTTGCCCGGAAGTTCTACTCCTCCCCCTCTCTCTCTCTCTCTTTCTGAATACTGTCTATCGGTGTGGACGATCAAATTGACCATAACAAAGTTAAAAAATGATGTTAAAACACAAAAGTAAATTAATTTGGTTGTCTACAAAGATGCTACGGCTATTTAACTTTTCGAATCGAGCCGAACTACGCGGGTCGCCATTTTGTTTTGACCGGAAGTTCTCGCGCTACTCTCTCTGTTTCTTTCTCTCTCTCTCTCTCTCCACTGCCCACATACAAAATTGTACACTTTTAGTAGGCTACAGTTGTAATGGAACGTTTGTTCACGGCACAGAATTCTACAATTTTTCTGTTATCACAGTGTAGAATTCTGTGGTTTAGGGTGAACGCAAAATTTGTTGGCCTAGATCTAGGCTATAACGGTGAACGCGCACCGGGTGAGAATAGCCAAAAGATTAGCCTGCACTATTCTCATCCCGGGTGAGAATAGAGGTGGCCTTACATCATCATAGTGTACAGCATCAGATAGTCAATCTGGGCAGAAGAAAGGTGCTGCACAATCACAGACAACCAAACCGAACATTTAGAGCAAGTTGCAAAGAAGAAAATAATCCAAGTCGGCAGGCTGTCGTACATGTGGCTGCCATCATGCGGTCATGGTGCCACCGTGACTAGTGACTGACAAAGTCATTGAAAGTGGGAATCCCTCAATGACGTCAAACAAGGTGGCTGTTACTGTTACTATAAATATCTGCCAATGGCTTTTATCTGTCGTTCTCTAGATCTAGCTAGACTATCTGCTTGTACTCTTGACAAGACTCTTGGTCTTGGGACCAAACCCAGCAGAGGATGTTTAATTATAAACAGCCCTTGGCAGCCTTGGTTGGTTGAAAAGGGAACAAGAAGACAAACTAAAAGCCTACTTCAACCCCCAAACCTCTGAATCATTTTTTCATGAAAATTAAAATAGCCACATGGGTGCAATCCACTCGTGAGGACCATGCACTGCAAGCATTTATAAAGTAATTTCTGCTGCACATGTGACATGGTCCATGGTGGTGACCATGCCATAGCATAGCGTGACACGCATGGCATGGAATGGTCCAATTCTCTGGTCGGGAACTGTCGCAGCACTGTAATGCAAGCATAATTGCTTTTCCTCCTTACACATGTCGCTACTTTTCTTTCCGACTTAAAAAAAGAAGCCCCCACTGTCGTTCTACCTTTTACTTTTGACAAAAGCGAAGAACAATTGAAGAAGTCGCTTCCTTCAATGAAAAGGATTCAGAACACTACACACACGACACGTGCATTTTTACCTTGTTTATGTTCTCAGCCACATTACTATATTTAGTACCGTACACAAAACATGCACCCTTGAGATGCAAAAGAAGTTTTTAAAGACTGTGCATCTTAAGAAATGCGATGTGTACCTGTAATTTCCTGCTGAGCCAAAATAAAACGTGTCAACCAGGTCAAAACTGATGAATTAAACTAGAGTACGCATTGTAAACAAACAACCTCTCCCAACACACAAAAGGTTCTGTGACCACCTTGCCAGGAAGTTTGCTGTCATGTGACTTTTCACGCGAGATCTCTACTAGCAACAATAGACGCTAGCAGACAGTGTAAAGTTGATTCTTGGAGTGCTCTGTGCTGCTCCAAAATGAAATAGATTCTGCTGTGATTACAAAGCCTTTTTATACATTATTCTGTGGAAAACAATATTAAAGTTTGAAACAAATACCTAGAAGTGCATGTTGTTGTAATCAGGACCAGAAAGCATACTATTTCTCAGTATATGTTTGCCTCTCCCGACACGTGAACAGTCGATGCCTTCAGCCTCAACTCAGTGACAGTACCCTTTCTCAGATAAGAACACGATTGCGAAGTTAATTTTAATTAGAAGAAGGGCCTAGGATATTACCCTCGTTATGATTTGAAAGGATAGAGTGAATAGTAATTGTCAGGTATTCCAAGTGACACCGCCTTCAGCAACAAAATCTGGATTAATTTTGAATAGCCCATAGACATTTAACATAACATAGATCTATATGATGTCAATGATGATCGCCAACAGCCTCTTGGATTTGTAGATATTGACTATCCAAGAAGTTTTGCATGCTCTGTTGCCGTTGGCATACCTTTTGTAATTAACCATAGAACTGACAGGATGGCTGGGACTGTACCAGGTTTAAGCTTACCAGCCCTGGCACCAAAATATAGTGGAGTCCCCAGGCGTTATGAAGAGACAAAACCAGTATATGTGCAGAATTTCACTCATCAAAGGATTGTTGGTATGTTTGCTGGATGTTTCAAATTTATAACTATTTTCTTAGTGATATTCCTATTTATAGATCTAGGTATCTGTCTGATTGATAACAGTAGGACAAATAATACATTGGCATATGCTCCAAAGCGAGTACACTGATTAATAATACAAAAAGTTAACAAGAACAATTAAAACTCCTCACTGGGATTTTTTTTTTCATTCCTGCATGTAATAAAATAATCTAGAGGATCAATTTTAAACAAAACTCAGACACTAAGAGAAAGAGACACTACGTCCGTTAACATGGATAATATAATATATATAGGCTACTCCTCTAGACTATACTTATATCAATGAAAACTAGCATGCTATGTTGCTTTGTCGCAAAGGAAGACACAAGCTACAGATTGTTCTAATATTATCTTGCTAGAGGCAAGCAAACTATATTATTATTACCTGTGTATGCGATGTACAAAATACGCATTTATTGTGAATTCTTTTGGTGGTCTTGAAGGAAATGGAAAAGGGAAAATTAAATTTTCACAATTAATGTATACGTATTTAAACAGATCCTTATGTTGGTTTAATGCAGTTTTCAAAAGGCTAAAATCATCAGGAACAGCAAGAGGATGAGTTAATGTCATGGCTTGAATGAACCCAACTGCCACTGAGTCAGATTTTACGCCCAAAAAAAAAATAGTCTTTTATCTACACATTTGTAAGTGTAAGATTCTATAAAATAAATATTATATAAACTTCTTAAATCTTCTCAGTCTTTCTACCTATTTCTGTTTGTTTGTTTTTTTAACAATTTATTTTTTGTCTACCAGTTTTGTTTCTCTCCTGTTTTAAAAATTCATCATCTTTGTTTATCTTATCTTGAGAAGACTATTACACAAATGCATGCAAATTCACGTGTGTGCAGGCCTGCACACACACACACACACACATACACTCACTCACACACACACGCACGCACACACACACACACACACACACACACATACACACACACACACTCGTGAGCGTGCGACCACTCACACTAACACACGCATAGACACACACAGTCACACTCTCACAAACACACACACACACACATACTCACCACAGGCTTAGGCCCTACACATATTCTAGCAGGTAACAGACACATAAGTAAACAAATTTCGGTGCATTTTAACGCAACTCAGATTTGTGCATAGATATACCAGAACCGTTGAAACAATCTAGGCTGAAGCTCAAATATTGTCAGTAAGGGCTCACCTTCAATTTCAAGCATAGGCTTGAGGCCCTATTGGAGGTCGTTTGCATGAATGCACCAATTCTAGATCAAACTTCTGTTGAACATCTCCAGATTGAAAGCCAGATTGACTCCAGCATGGATACCTATACGTTGCTCTGGTTGAATTGTTCACATCATGGACATTTTTTAGTGAATATTAATAGTTTGACAAAATAGGCTCCAGCTCTATAAGAATAGAGGCCAATTGCAAGTGTCATGATTAATATAACATTTTAGCATTTTTATTTTGTTTCAAAGAATTGCCTGGGTCAGGAAAGAAAGAAAACACTTCCAGTTTAACCAGAGCCCTGGCATTTTTTATTTATGAAACATGAAATACCAAATTAAATGAATTTTTCTTCCTTATTGCTAAAAATTTCTTTTTTAAAAATCTATAACAGGCATTGGCAAAGATATTCAGAAACGTGTGTTGGAATCAATTGAAGCAGAAAAGTTGGAAGCTCTACGCAAGGCAGAAGAAGCTGTGTGGGTGCAAGCTAAAAAAGAAAAGTCAGAGGCAGTTAAAAAAGCGAGGGAGGAAGAGAAAGCTGCAGCTGAGAAAATCCTACAGCGGAAAATCAAGGAGTATGAACAGCTTATCAGAGTACGTTCATTCTGTGCAAACATATCTGTTTCTTCTCATGGTTTCAAAGGATTATTTTCAAATCTGATTTTTCTTACTCACCTCCTATAAACCCCCCCCCC